GGAGGACCATTGGAAGCTGATTGTGTTGGCATGAGATCACCTACTGTTTGTCCACCGGGTGGTTGACCACCAAGACTAAAAGCGAGAAAGAAAATTAATGGAAATTTGAATAAGAGAATATTCAAAAGTTACAATGGAAAACTATTTAAAAATGGTGGATGTTCAAAGTTATTTGATGTTTCAAACATTGATCGACGAGATGTATAATCAGTTGCACCTTGAAATAAAAAAACTTATCGGTTAATATATGATAGTTATTTATATTACCGATAACATCTATTTTCCCATCAGGTTTTCGTGTATTTAGAGGACGTGATATCATTGGCATATTCATCGGTTTGTTTATCATCATTACTGGATGAGAATTTATTGGATGAACATTTGGAGGATGACCTGAAAGCATTGGTGGAATCTAGAAAAAGAAAATTTTGAATAAAAAAAAAAAAAAAAGATAATTAATAATTAATAAATTTTACGTGAGTAGGATTAAGACGTGCTAAATTATTTTCATTACGTAAACGTCGTTGTCGATCACAATATTGTACCCATGTTTCTTCAGTAAAACCATAATTAAAATATTCAGTAATATCTGCTCCTAAAATTATTATTCAAGTAGAAAATTATTTAATCAAATCTAGATATTTGAAAAATGAACTCTTATTTTTTTTGTTTTGAATGAAATGTACACAGGATGATATTTGTCTTACTTAAACTTAAACTATGATATGATAAGATGAGAAAATCATGTGACAAAGAGACATATTAAATGACGTAGTATAAATAAAAAGAACAACCAAGAGTAACAGATGGTACGGAAGCTTCTGGACAAAACATTTCTTCATTTACCTATTAATTACTATCCTAATTATTAGTTCAACTAGTTTTATCTAGACCGATGAGTTTCACAGAAAAATTTTGAACATATATGCGGAAAGAGCACAAAAGATTGAAATATTTCTACTGACTTCCCATAATTAGTCGATAAATGAAAAAATATTTTGTTCTGAAATTTTTGCATTATCTGTCAGATTTCATATAAATGATAAAACATCTTTCGAGATTTTTTAAATATTTCAAAGAACAATTGTTTTTAGCAAAATAATATATCAAACCTGGTTTTTTCCATGGTTTTTCTTCATCTTTATATGCATTCACTATATCATGTTCATATGTTGGTTGTCCATTAATAACACCTTGTGCATCGACATCTACACCTCGTGTTATTGACGATTTTGGTGGCATAGCGGCCGGACCTCCTAGAAAATCATTAATAATATTAAACTAATCAATAATAGATATAAAAAGATAAATTTCTATCTACCTGATAACATTCCTCGAGGTTTTTGTCGATTTGTTTGAAAAGTTGATACTTCTGGTTCATAATCACCAATAGTCACTTGAATTCCATCATCATCATCATCATCATCTGAATCATCATCATCTAATTGGCTACCAATTAATGATGTTGTTGTTAATTTTAGTGTTGCTTTTTCCTAAAAACAAATATATAACTAAAATAAGATGTTTAACTATCTAAAGTTTAAGTGCAAAATATTTTTATATAAATTTTAACTTGAATTAATTCTACATTTCTCATTGTAACTATAACATAAATTCTCACATACTCTTGCATTGATTTCTTGTGTTGTTATTTCATCAATGGATGGTGCTGTTGTATTATCTCTATGAAGAAGAAAAAAAATTTAATCAATATAAATAAAATTATCATTTTTAAACTTACACATTTTCATTACTTTTTGATTTATTATCTATAATTAATAAACAAAGAAAAATATAATTATTTAAATATAAATTTATATTCATTTTTCATACGTCCATATAGCCAAGTTTCTTCATCTTCATTCTTAGCCACAGATTCTTTAGTTATACTATCTGTTTCTGTTATTAAATTATTTAAAGATGCAATTTCATCAATCATTGTTTTTGACATAGTTCTAAAAAAATAATAAGAAAAACCGTGTTTTTTGCAAGTATATGTTGACGTGAGACATAAATATATAACCAATTGTCAATAAGTTAAATATTCGGAATATTAAATATGACCTCTATCGATTTTTTATTCTATTTGTTCATCAAATAATCCAATACACTTTATCATGATTGATTCTACATTCCAATATCCATGAATTATTTAATTTTAATATACATGTGTAAAAATGATGTTTTGCATCTTCTGACGATAGAAGTAGTGTAAATTGTATTTTAGTTTAAAACATTGAGTTTATAATTGGAATAAATATATTTATTGCATCGAATATTGTTGGTGGCCAATAAACTATTTTTATGGGGTCATTCTATTTCAATTAGCAAAAAAAACCGAACTGATGAAAATACTCATCCATGAAACTAATGAAATCTCTCTATGGCTATCATTTCTGTTGTAGGGAAGCATTTATAAAACGCCATAAAACTGCATCTCCGTCATTCAGTTGTGCGGATCCTATTTTTTTGCTACCAAACGACGACTTAATGGTGCCAATTTTCTTCACTGTATATCATTTACAAGGCTTTTTGTCTCAGACTTGATTTTATCGATTGAACCTTGCATATTGGAAATACCAATAATACTAAAAATGCTTGTACCGTATTATTATAGTTCTTTTTTGAAAAAAAGACTCTGACTAGAACAGACTATCATTTTAGTTATATAATATTTATGTGTATTGAATGCTTATCTTTATTTTGTTACAAAATTATTATTACACTGCCAAGCACTGTATCCTAATCACTTGCGAGCTTTTTAACATTCTCAACACATAGAGAGTCGTACGATATTCGTTTAAACGTCATGACAAAGTTCCATGTTCCTATATAATCAATTTTTTTCTGAAATTTCGATATGAGGTTCTGTTCGTCCTCAATTCGCTCCACAAAATGATGATTTTGAAGTTAGAACTCTGTTTTATTTCGAAATAATGAAAACGAATGTCAGCAACAACGATGATTAGATCGAATGTTGCTGCCAACATCCATATCTTTAATTGGAAAATATTATAATCTCATAAACGATGAGTCCAGTTTAGGTCTAGGAGTGAATATACATAATGAACTAATTTTGAAACTCGATATAAATTACAACAACGTAATCAAGTAACCATAAAAGTACTATAAACATTCTGCCTTATTTTTAAAACCAATTATTGATAATAATTTCATTTAGATTTTTCTTAAGAATAGTTAGAACATGGATGCAAAAATTATTTTTTGGATCTTATGTTAGAATTGATTGATTTTTCAATTTAGAAAGAAGCAATTCTTAACAAAAACGACCTTATACTTTCTCGGCTTCGTATGATACTGAATTCTTAATTAAACAGTGTTAGGGAGAAAAAGATGGTTGACCTTTTCCTTTTATTTTTACTAAATCAAAAATGTTCTCACACACACATAACAATTAAGCTACATAATGAACCAAAAAAGAAAAGGAAAAACGCGCTTTGATATATGATCACACGCATCGAAGGTTTTTACGAAAAGAAAGAAATGATGATATATGATCGAAGATATCACATCCAGGGACAAAGAAAAACATACTGTGAAGGCAATATCCGTAACAAGCAGGAAGAAAAAAATTCGCTGAAATAGGAATTCATCATGCATTTTCAAACAACAAAGTGTACTAATCTGTTTATATGCACAAATCTATTTACGGCAAGAGAGAAACAAGAAGAGGAAAACTTCGAGACATCGTTAAACCAAAATAAAGTACGACACAATGTATGAAATTATGTTGCAAGAGTGTGGATGTGGTAGGTGTAGATGTGAGTGTGCCTGGTTTATACTAACGCCCACATCCACATCCTAGTTTGTTTTTTTTGAAAAATATTGCTTCCTCCACTTAGGAGAACTGAAATACTGGAAACCTTGTCAAAAAACGTGTTTTTTCTCCCTAGGGCAAATTTTGTAACATTTACCAAAGACTACCAGATCATTATTTCAAGAAAATAAAAAACATATACACCCTGATTTAGTCCTAGTTACCACACAAAAAATTTCAGCTCAATCAGTCGAAGTGTCTGAGAAAAAAAGGGGGAAACTTCAATTTTTTTTTCTAAAAAAGTTGATTTTGAGAAGAACGCAAAATAACGTAAAACGACATTTTTTTTTTATCCATAGTTATCAATTAGTGCAGTTGCAAAGCGACTAGAAGGATGTAGTGCTGACCCATACAATACATTTTGGTGATGAAATAACTACATTAGTATAGATCATTTACAACACGACAGAGCTGTAGAACGTGATTTTTAGTGTAGGAGACACCTAAAGTCGGATTTTTTCGTCCATATGCCATTCGCTAGAAGACTCTTGAATATCTTCGTAGTTACAAAAAAGCCGAAATCGAAAAAAGTGAATTTTTGGAGTCGGAAAAGAAAGGTGCCCTTAAATCAATTCACATTGAGCCTTCAAACTTAAATATTTGTTTTGATATGGAAAATGCTTCGATTCTCAAAACAAATTACATCATTTGATTTCTTAGCTCAAAATCGAAATTGATATTACTTTGTATATTCTTTGGTTCAGTCTTTATTATATTCTTTTCTCACTACATTCAAATGACATATGTGATTGAATTCCAGAACGGCTCTTCATTCGATCATTCAATCTATTTCAAGTTATTTGATGGCAGATGAACATTGAATAGAAATACAATGAAAAAGTTGGAGGAGTGTTTACTTGATCGCGTAACCTAAGAATTCAATTGAACGGAGGTTGTGAAGGAAGAAGCAATGATTGTTTCTTTCTTCGAAAAATATAAAGTCATATGTTGTACAAATATCTCCAATAGATTGGTATGGAGCGCCCTCTTCACTTTTAAAGAGGCAACATATAATTTTTATTCAATGGTGAAAAATGTTTGTACAAGGCAGCAAGAAAAAAAAATCTCTATAACTTTTTGCAAGTTCATTTATTGAACATTTCCTTTGCGAAAAATGTCATCGAATTATATGCTCTTCCGATATGTTTTTTCAATAATAAATATGTGTTTTTTTGTGAGTTTAAATTTCAGTTTTTTTTTTAAAATTATAAATAAAAAGTTTTTCAAACAGGCCTTGGCTGTTGCAATTGTTATATGTAGTTGGTTGTTACATTTAAAATCTTCTGACTATGGTCCTTTAATGGGAAATCAATGGTTTACTGCACCTGTTGTATTGATTATCTCAGGTTTTTAGATTAATTAATAACCTTGATTCAGTATTCATTGATTGAATTGATGTTTGTTTTATTTGTTTTTAGCGAAATTTTCAATGTTACTTGGTCTTATTGGATGTCTTGGTGCTTGGTTTGAGAAAAAACCTTTGCTTTTTATTGTAATGAAAAAACAAAAATTTTTTTTTTTTCTTGAAAATTTGATATTTGTTTTTTTTTACTGTCTATTAGTATATTATAACGATGGTTTTAATTTTCGCTGGATTATTAGTTGGTGTCGTATTTGTTATCGCTTTAAATGAACAAGTAAGTTGAAAGTTTAGTTTTTATTTTGTAATTTAATTGTTTAATTTTTTTTTTTGCTCATAAAGGTAGCAATATCTGCTCGAAAAGACTTATTGGATAATATTCGTCAATATCCATATGAAGAAAATACTTTTCGTAAAAAAATGGATCCAATTCAAAGAAGAGTAAAATTCGAAAAATAAATAAAAATTATTTAATTTAAAATTTCGTTTTTTTTTTAGCTTCATTGTTGTGGTATTGATGAATATCGTGATTGGTTTAATACTGATATTTGGTCGGGACAGACTTATGTTCCTGATACATGTTGTATTGAAGAAAAACTTGATTGTGGAAAACAAATAACTGCTAATGTAACTAATGGATTGATTTATACAGAGGTATGTTTGAAATAAAACAATAAGATTTGAAATAGTTTATGAAGCTTTTTTTTTTTTTTCTTATGTAGGGTTGTTTTAATATGATTCAGATTGAAATTAATCGAAACTTAATGATTGTTGGTATACTTTCTTTTGTTCTTGTTTTTGTTGAAGTAAGTTTATATTTCTTTTGTTTAAAACATGAGAGAATATGATTAATCATTTTATAATATTAATCATTTATTATCTCTCTTTATCAGATATCCAACATAGATGAGAAGGGGTGTGTTCATATTACTGATTGTTATCTTATCATCGTATTTGATACGGATGCATGATTAATGATCAATTGAATGAACATGGGAAATTTAATCGAGTTCGATTGACGTATCATCCATCTATACATTTGTTTTTAATAAGTTTTGTCTTGAGAGATATAATTAGTTTGACTATGGTACTAAAAAAGACAAGCAGAAAACATCGATATGTCAATTGATTAACTGTCGTTAGTCCTTTATATATGTATATATTAGTGAAAAAGATCAGATAACTATTGTATCAATTGAGCGTGGTAATCATAGAAGTTTATATAGTCAATCTGTGATTAATATTTTTTTGTCTTCATTGTATTAGTAGAAGATAATATTCATTGGTTATTGGTTGTATGCATGCGCACAGGGACGTCCTGCGGTCGCTAGAATTGGTGCGAGGAGTGGAGGGAGTGATGACTCAGAAGCTTGATCAGAAGTTTTTTTTAGAAATTGATTAGCAGAAAAAAACCAATAGAACACTCGAGAAACATGAAAATTTATCAAGATTGGGAGAGGGTCATCCGCACATGATGCTCCTGCATATTCGGATTGGTTCTTTTGTAATTACGATTATACCGTTTAGTTGAGTTCTGCAAGAATATGGATATTAATACTCGCTCCTTCACGAAGAAGTCATACTTAATGATATAACTAAAAACTTGCTCTTTTGAAGGTTACTACAGATTACTAATAAAGATGATAAGTTCTTCATTGTCTTCCTATTCCATTTTAATGATATCCTAAATCATCTTAGCTAGAAGAAACGTTAAAATTCACATATATTATTAAAGAAAACAATGAGTGTAAGTTTAAATCGAAGTTGTTGCGGCTCCTCGGCTCTAGCAACGTTAGAAGGTGCATCAGTGATAACAATGCTGTGGGTTCTAACTAGTCTAAATATTGTCAACCACTTGGGAGGGCGATAGTATTAGTCATCTAGCAGAGTCAGAATACGACAAACATAGAAGAATGGGGAAATAATTGAATTTTAAGTATAGGCAAAACTCAACAGTATATGTTAAAGTTCGGTTTGTGAATTTCGTACTTTAATCCCTCATTAGAGCTACACTGAGAAATTTTTCAGAGAATGCAACAAAATGTCTAAAAAAAAATAACAACAAAAATAATTCGTAATTTTTTTTTGCAAGACTTGAGTGATTTAGTTTTTTTCCTAACAACATTTTATATTTTTTGCTTATTTTTATTTGTTTTTTTAAAGGGTTTTTGTATTGTTGCTGCTCTTGGTCTACTTTGTTATCTTCGTCAACGTGATAGTTATATATGAAACATATATATATATATATATAAATATATATAATAGTTGTCACTGTAATTAAATAAGCTTATTTCGTTCAGATACACTTTATTGTTTTGATTTTTCATACGATCTCATAATCATTTTGTTCATTAACTAATGCGACATTGTTTCTTTTTTCTTTTTTTTTCGTGTGTTTTTTATTGGGTAGTTTTCTTACTGTTTTTCTTTTAAGTGTCTGCTCAACAGTGTATGGATGATTTTATAATTCTTTTTTTTTGTTCGCGTTTGTTTTCATTTTGAAATGATTTAAAGTAAAATTTAAGCGTTTAGTTAATGAATCACAATAAATGTGCTAATATAATTTGCAGATGATTTGAAGAAAAAAAATTAGGCAATGGAAACAAAACGTTTTATTATTCTTATTCTTTTAAGTCATTTAGTATTATTTTATTCAATATTTGATGTTTATTTTACATCACCAATTAATCATGGAATGCCAGTACATCGTTCAACTCAATCACCACGTGCTAAACGTCTTGTACTTTTTGTTGCTGATGGTCTTCGTGCTGATAAATTGTTTCAACAATTGAATAATACACCTTATCTTAATTCTATTATTCAGAATAGAACAAGTTTGAGTGGTATTTCACATACACGTGTACCAACAGAATCGCGACCGGGTCATGTTGCAATTATTTCTGGTTTCTATGAAGATGTATCAGCTGTTACACGTGGATGGAAAGAAAATCCAGGTGAGAATAAATCATGTGTTTTTATTGTTATATATAAATGAATTATCAAAAATTATGATCTTCGATTTTTTCGTAAAAGAAAATATTGTAATATTTAGTTATTCTCCTAAAGTAATGATCATCATGAAACACTTTGTGAAATTTTAAGCAAGATTTATGCAGCGGGACAGAAGATTGGAAGAGATGTAAAGAAATATTTTAATTTACTATCTCTATTGAATAGAATCATAGTTCCAATTAATCTTCTAACCTATCATAGATAAATATCCGTACAAATGTCAAGACCTGTTGTATTCGAACAGAAAATACTGGAAGCCTAACTGTTTAATTCACAGATAGAGCAAAGTATGTCATTTGAAATGCATATTCAAAATAAAATTTGGGATGTAGTTTAAGACATTGAAATGATTTATTACTAAGGTGAATATTTTTGCGCTTTTTCTTTTTTTAACATACATTATGTTGACAACAAAAGAAATTTGTGGAATCTAAGTTGTCTGAAAATTGATTTTCTATTTTTCTGCATAGCTAAAGTAGCTAGCAATCATCGTTAAAAGCAAAAACAGTCGACTCTACAGTTTTTATGAAAGTTTTAAGCACTTGTAAGAACACAAATTCTTGAAGATGTGCAATTTTTAAAGTCCTACATGAATATGTATGAAACATTGAAAAAACATATCGTATTGAACTTATACATGATGGAAGGAAAATTACGTAAAAAGTTGCTCTTGATGCTAATTTCGATGTAATTAAAAGCTTCAATAAGTCGGAAGGACTGCATTCATTTGACTTGAGTTCTATGTAGCTACTTAAACTTGATATCTCATTTGAAAGTATTAAAACAAAAACATAGTCAGGATATGAAAGAATTCCTTATTTTATCTTCATAACAAGTGATTTTTTAACCCTTTCAAAAAACATAAAAATTTACTGTCTTAAACTACTTCATAAATTTTATTTTAAATATGCATTTTAAAGTACATACTTTACTCTATTTACGAGTGAAAAACTTAGGTTTCTAGCATTTCCCGTTCAAATACACCAGATCTCAACGTTTGTGCGGATACTTATGCCATTCTATGTAATTCGAATCGGACACAAACCATCGGTATATTAGCAGTAGTGCGAACGAACGTACGATTTGGGACCAGTGACTTGATATTAGAGTTGTCCATCGTGGCTGGAAATCAATTGCGACAATAGGAACGGAAAACTCGTATGTCGTTGCCGTGACGGTATTCAAAAACACATGTTTTGAATTCCACGGTTGTGAACTAGAACAATTATTACTAATTTGTGAGATTCATCGAGTCTCAAAGTGATATATTTGTGAATACTAAAATTCCGTGCAAATTCATACAGATTTGCAATGTCCTTCATAAAAACTCTGTCACTGTCGTGATGGACATCTCTACTGGATATTCGTTTATTTGAAAACGGGATATTAGAAGCCTTGAGAAGATTTTGTAAACATAGAACATAAAATTCTCTACCTAATGATGCTAAATACTTTACATTTAGCATCGAACTTGATGAGCACAAGCTTGCACAAATCGTTAGATATCCGCAGGAAATTGCAATTAAGCAGCTATCAATCTTTTCAATTTTTCATCGACAACAAAAACTTATTTAAAAAATAAAGTTCACATTTTTGTAGAGCGAAAAATTCTCTACTGAATGATCTAAGCTCGCAAGAAAATTCATCGACATCATTACTCTGATTTCTGTAAAGTTATTATCCAATTCTATGATATTTTCATTTTTCTAGTTGAATTTGATTCAATATTTAATCGAAGTACATATACATTTGGTTTTGGTAGTCCTGATATAGTTCCAATGTTTAAACGTGGTCAATCTTATGAACATTTTTATATTGAATGTTATGGTGCAGATAATGAAGAATTTGGTAATGAGCGTGCTCATGAATTAGATCTTTGGGTTGAAAGACAATTTGAAAAATTTTTATTAAATAATACACTTAAAAATGAATTACATAAAGATAAAATAATCTTCTTTTTTCATTTAATTGGTATTGATACAAATGGTCATTCATATAAACCATGGTCAAATATTTATATGAAAAATATTCATATTGTCGATGGAATTATTCAACGATTAGAAAATTTAATTGAAAATTATTATAAATATGATCAAAAAACTACATATGTATTTACATCAGATCATGGTAAATTAATTTATTTCGAACGAAAAAAAAAATATATAACGAACTAAAACAAATTTCTCTTTTAGGTATGACTGATTGGGGTTCACATGGTGCTGGTGATGATACAGAAACATTAACACCATTAATTATTTGGGGTTCAGGTATTCGTTCATCACGTCATACAGATGTTCATATTGAACAAGCAGATTTATGTCCATTAATGTCTTATTTTCTTGGACTTGATTATTCAATAAATTCAGTTGGTCGTTTACCAATTGATTATTTATTACCTGTTGATGAAGATCTTCTTCAAGCTTATCTTCAAAATGCTCGACAATTACTTGAACAAGTACATAAACAATATGATTTATTAAAACAACGTTTATTATTTTTTAAATCATATGATTTAAATGAAGAAAAATTTTTTAAACGTATGGAAACAGTTGAAGGTTATATGAATTTATATCAAATTCGAGATGATATTAAAGGTAAACAAAAAAAAAAAAATAAGAAACTCTATTGACATTTTTTTTATTTTTTCTTTTTGAAATAGATTTTATGCATCGTGTTGCTTTAGCTAGTCATTATTATCATACGTATCGACGTTTTTTACTTAGTATATTGATTATTGTTGGATTTTTGACATCTATTTGTACGATATTATATCAATTAAATCCAATGAAACCATTATCATCATCAATAGCTTTGTTATGTAAAATAATATCAATTTTAATTTTTATTCTTTTGATAATTGAACAATCACCTTGGACACATTTATTATATCCAGCACTTGTTTGTATACATATATGGCTTTCAGCTAATTTTGCTATTAATTGGATACGACAAAAAGTTTTTAGTCAGATAAAATATATTTCATTTTGGTTAAATTTATTTATGATTGGAATTTTTTTACAAACATATATTTTACCATTTTTTTATCGTTGGACAATGTCAATAGGAGTTTTCTTATTATTTATTGATGCTATACGACGTTGGCAAGGGTAAATAACAAAAAAAAAACAAACATTAGATTGAATTCGATTGAGAGAAAAAAAGAAAGCTGTTAGCACAATTCGTGTGAGAATAAAATGTGAAACATGTTGTAGTTTGTATTGCTAATCACAGGAAGATTCTTTTGCTTAGTCTTTCAACAATGTAATAAGGAAGTAATTCATATATTACAACGAGACGTTAGTGATATACGGTATTTGATGGTATACTCAATAACATGTGTAAATTTCTATCCTATATACTTGAACATTTCTTTTAGATTGTGTTTCACAAAAATAGATGTATGACATGAAATATTTGGATTCTAAAATTCATTAGAATCAGTTTTTTTATTAATATGATTAGTTGAAATTTTGTTTATAATTAATATGAAGGATTTATATTTATATGAAATAAGATTTAAACATAAACCCAGGCGACAAAGATAAAATTTTTATCTTGTAAAAATTCAAGAGAGAAAAAAGGTTAAAATTCTTCCGAAAATCGAATTTTTATCATAGGAAGATACGCCGAAATCTTCACTTTTCGAATATATCTAGTATGTCAGAAGATAGTAAGATTTTAACTCTTTGATGGCAAAGCCGAAATATAATAAAACAGGCCTTTTCAAAGTATTACCATGTTAACAATAGATTTTTATTCTATGCGAACGATTTCTTTGTTTAGATCTTTATTACATGATCGTCGTCGATTAGCATATGGAATTTTACTTTTAATTATTCTTATTTTTCCATTTTTACCAACAGTTGGTACAATTAAAATAACATTATCATGGTGTACTGTATTATCTGGTATAATAACATTAATATTACATTATCTTTATTTTAAATCTGATTCTCAACAATTATATATTTATTATATTCAACGTATTTGTTTAATACTAGCTATAATTGATAATTATTTTGTACATAATTTATCAATTCGTTCACCATTAATTCATATACTTAGTTGGATTCTTTTAATAATTTCATGTTTTTTACCATTTTTTTCTTTATCAATATATCGTTTAAAACGACTTATTATTATATTTACATCAATTTTAACAATTTATATTTTATTATCAACACAATATGAATCATTATTTGTTTTATTTCTTTGTTTATTAATGTTAACATGGATTATAACATATGAACAACAACAACAACAAGAAAATATTCGTTTATTTACATTTCAATCATTACTTTTTATTTTTCTTGCTTTTTTTGGTACAGGAAATTTTGCATCAATTAATTCATTTGATCCATCTATTGTTTATTGTTTTTTAACAATATTTAATCCATTTTTAATGGGTTTTGTTATTATATTTAAATATATATTACCAATACTTATTGTTACATGTGCAACAGCATATATTATAAAAAATCCTGATATGATTAAAAATTTTCGTTTATATACATTAATTATATGTGATTTATTAGCACTTGAATTATTTTTTTTTATTAAAACTGAAGGTAGTTGGTTAGATATTGGTGAAAGTATAAGTCGTTATGTTATACTTATGGCAATGATTGTTATTTTAATAGCATTCCATTTTCTTGCAAGTTTATTATTAAAAAAAGAATTATATTTACCAAAATGAACAAAATTTAAAATAAATTGTGATGTTTTTTTTTTTTTGTGTTCTCGGAGAAATTATTTGATAAATAAAATCATCTATGAATTGAAGATAAATATACATCTAATATTAAAGAAAAATAACGAAGATATATTAAGAATTAATAGTTAATCATTCTCAGTTTTCATCAGATGTATTCGAGAAATGCACCGAATCCAAAGGATCAGATTCGATCTAGGTTGTAGTTATTTTCAGATAGTTAATAAAAAGAAGAAGTAAGTTAATAGAAAAGATTTCAAGGCTGACTACGGTAGATCTACATACAGTGAAATAAATAATTCAAAAACTGAAGAGCTACAAGCATCCTAAAAGCAAGTGAACGATGTTCATAAACACCGAAACATGACAAATTCTTCAAAGGCTTTCATGATTACCGATATAGCTTATGAAATGCTTGAGCAATTATGTAAATATTCGACATTTTCAGAGCTAATTGGTTAGTTCTCGAATGTCGAACCAGAGTTCGGATTTGATGCATGCTTGACAAGGAGACAAAGGTAAAAATTTCGTATTTCACCGTCATTCAAAGGATATACCAAAGCTATCCTCTAGAACTTCTTAGCTATTTCCAATCTACTATCAACATATGTTACGAGTATATTAGTCGAAATTCATTATATATAAGTGTGTCTCATAATAATGAATTACAATGATGTATTTGCACTTTATTGTTAGAAAGTTTGATATAGAATGAACCCAAATTGTTATGATCGCGAAACGTACTTATACTACACTTAAAATAGTTAAGAATGTTTCAAGAATGTCCTTGATATACTCTTGGAATATCCTGAAGTACGGAATCTTCGCGTTTTCCTTCTTGATATTTAATCACTTCTGTTCTTTAATATCTGTTCTCATATGTTTGTAGCAACGATAAAACTCTTATGAATTATATTTTAATATACAGTATAATATTGATGTATATTTTTAAACGCATTTTTTTGAATAACATGTTTGCGTAGATCATTTTATACTTCATGGGTTATATTATCTATTTAAGAATATAATATTGAATTACGTTAATGACAAGATTATTGTCATGATGTGAATGCTATTGAATGCATAGTATAGAATATTATTAAATAGAAAATTAGAAAAAAGAAGTAATTCAAAAGCACAATGTGAACTAGAGAATGAAGCTAATAGAACACGCAATGATCTATCAATAAGTGTTATTCATGTACACTTTGAAAAAAAATCCAGGCGTTATAACAATACTTTGTATCTTTATCTGAAGCCTAGATTTGTATTATAAGTATCTACTATTATATTATTCATATATATCTGAAGAAATTTGTTTCAACTATAAACTGTATATTTTTCTATATCTATTTATTTTACATATACAAGCACAAGTTGAATGCATGTTATATACATATGTTAAACCCTCGATTGAAACTTTATTCGATTACTTTCGTTCTTTGTTTATTTATGATATGTTACTATGTATCGATCTATAGAATGATA